CTCAAACATTTACCAGGGAGAAAGAACTTCCTGGCAGATGCCCCAATATAACAGCGCACGAGCCACAGACTCTAAATCAATGATGGCAGAGTCACAACTGGCAGCACCAGTAATCACAAGAACCCAAGCTAAATTAAAACCACAACTGGACAGCCAAACTGGAATTGAATTCAGAAAAAGTTTGGAAACAGACGAATTGTTCCAGAAAAACAAAAATGTGTGCACAATGAGAGGCGGGTTGCCTTGGGTAGGGGAAAAGTTATATATACCAAGAGTCACTTTCACGTAGCTTTGCCATAACACAAAATCAGCAGGGCATTTTGGATTTGTAAAAACTTTACACTTAATTAAACGGCAATTTTGGTGGCCATGAATAAAAAAGGACATAGAAAGTTATGTGGCCAGCTGCCCAAAATGTGCGTCTGCAAAGAGGTTGCAAGGGAAATCGCCAAGACTATTACAACCAGTGGCAAATCCCTCAGCCCCCTGGAGGGAAATAGCCATGGATTTTATAGTGGAATTGCCAGAAAGCAATGGGAATACTGTTGTCTGGACGGTCACGGACTTGTTTTATCCCTTGCCAAAAGATTCTCACCGCAAAAGCCTTAGCAAAACTTTTCATCCAGCACATTTACAGATTGCATGGGGCACCCCAATGCATCATCTCTGACAGGGGGGTGCAATTTACGTCTGCATTTTGGAAGGAATTTTTATCCTCTTAGGAACCACTCAGGGACTGACATCTAGCCATCATCCACAATCAAATGGGGGGGGCTGAAAAAATGAACTCCATACTTAAGCAATATTTAAGATGTTTTCTTAGTTTCCAGCAGACCTATTGGGTGGACTTACTCCCTTTTGCAGAAGTTGCCTACAATAATGCAGTCCACTCCAGCACAGGTTACACTCCTTTTCAAATAGCCACCGGTCAAAGTTTCAACCCCATGCCAGAATTAACCCCAAACGAACCAACGATCCCATCACTGAAAGAATGGATGGAAAAACTACAAAACACCTGGCCAATAGTTAGAAAAGCACTAGATGAAGCTAGGCAGGCATACAAAGCACAAGCCGATAAAAAAAGGGTTGAGCCTACACCATTCATTATAGGTGAAATGGTGTACCTATCTACAAAATACCTAAAGTCCCTACAACCCTGTAAAAAACTTGGACCAAAATATATAGGGCCTTTTCCAATTAAAAGAATCATAAACCCAGTAACAGTAGAATTAGAATTACCCAAAAATCTCAGGCAAATACACCCAATTTTTCATTGCAGCTTGCTAAAAAGAGAGCATCAATCAGCTTTACGGCCAAAAATCCCCCCCCCTCCCATCACCACCTCCAATCATGGTAGAGGGCGAACAACACTTCGAAATAAAGGAAATCCTAGACTCTAGGAGATATCATGGAGCGACTCAGTACCTAGTTGCCTGGAAACACCTCCCTGCCTCAAAAAACGAGTGGGTCCATAAACGTCGTGTCAGAGCCCCGAAGCTTTTAAAGAAGTTTCACACAGAATATCCTAGCAAGCCTGACTAACTTTTATACCTGTTTTGTTTTCTTTCAGGTGGATCTGTTTTATTTTTGAGGGGCAGGATGTCAGAATCCAATTATATTTCATCTCTAGTTATCAACTAAAGAAAACCCCACTTCTGCCTTCCCTGGATTCTGTCATACGATGAAGGGAAGGAGGTGAACAAAGGGGCTTTATGGCTCTCACTTCCTTCAGCATACTTCAAAGAGACTGAATGTGGATAGCATCAAAAAGGCCTAATCATAACAAAGGGGGCTATTACCTTTCATGTAGTTTTCTCTGAAGTCTCCATCCAGCCGGCAGTAAGGAAAAGGGGGTGGGAATGTAATGCCTGAGACTCTTGCTGGAAGTAGAGGGTGATTGGGTGGGGCTACTGGGAAACCCCTTAAAACCTTGAATGGGAGAGCTTGGACCCCAAGTCCTGTCTAGAATGCCTGCAACCATTTTCTCTTAATAAAGGATGCCTGTTGGAAGAATTATTCCAAGAGTTCTGTCTTCTTAAGATGCAAAGTGGGGTGGGTTCTTACAGGTATAGTTTCTTTTTATGTGAAGACTGATGCAAAGTATGAGTTAAGCAGCTCTGGTTTCTCCCTGTTGCCTGTTATTTCCTTGCCATAGTATCTCTTTAGTGGGCCTACAGTTTTCTTGACTTTTTTCTTGTTAATATGTTGGAAGAAACTTTTTTTATTATCCTTGATTTCTGTTGCAAGTCTTTGTTCGTTCTAAGCCTTTGCTTTCCTGACTTCATTTTTGCATGTTCTGGCTGTCTGTTGATAATTGGCCTTAGTTATGTGCCCGTCTTTCCATTTTTTGTATTTGTCCTTTTTGTCTTTCAGTTTGTCAGAGAGATCTTTGTGCAGCCATTTGCATTTTAATGAGTGAAATAGGTATTTGACCCCTTCGCAAAATATGACTTAGTACTTGGTGGCAAAACTCTTATTGGCAATCACAGAGATCAAATGTTTCGTGCAGTTAGCCACCAGGTTTGAACATATCTCAGGAGGGATTTTGTCCCACTCCTGCTTGCAGATCCTCTCCCAAGTCATTAAGGTTTTGAGGCTGATATTTGGTAGTTCAAACCTTCAGCTCCCTCCACAGATTTTCTATGGGATTAAGGTCTGAAGACTTCTTTTTGCCTTGGCTGTGTGTTTTGGGTCATTGCCCTGCTGGAATACCCATCCACGACCCATTTTCAATGCCCTGGATGAGAGAAAGAGGTTGTCACCCAAGATTTGATGGTACATGGTCCTGTCCATTATTCCTTTGATGCAGTGAAGTTGTCCTGTCCCCTTAGCAGAAAAACACCACCAAAGCATAATGTTTTCACCTCCATGTTTGACGGTGGGGATGGTGTTCTTGGGGTCATAGGCAGCATTCTTGTTCCTCCAAACACAATGAGTTGAGCTGATGCCAAAGAGCTCAATTTTGGCCTCACCTGACCACAACACTTTCACCCAGTTCTCCTCTGAATCATTCAGATGTTCATTGGCAAACTTCAGATGGGCCTGTACATGTGCTTTCTTGAGCAGGGGGACCTTGCAGGTGCTGCAGGATTTCAGTCCTTCACGGCGTAATGTGTTACCAGTTGTTTTCTTGGTGACTATGGTCCCAGCTGCCTTGAGATCATTGACAAGATCTTCCCGTGTAGTTCTGGGATGATTCCTCACTATTCTCATGATCATTGAAACTCCACGAGGTGAGATCTTGCATGGAGCCCCAGACCGAGGGAGATTGACAGTTATTTTGTGTTTCTTCCATTTGTGAATAATCACACCAACTGTTGTCACCTTCTCACAAAGCTGCTTGGCGATAGTCTTATAGCCCATTCTAGCCTTGAGTAGATCTACAGTCTTATCCCTGACATCCTTGGACAGCTCTTTGGTCTTCGCCATGGAGGAGAATTTGGATTGATTGATTGATTGCTTCTGTGGACAGGTGTCTTTTATACAGGTAACAAGTTGAGATTGGGAGCACTCCCTTTAAGAGGATTTCTGGGAGCCAGAAATCTTGCTGATTGATTGGGGATCAAATACTTATTTCAGTCATTAAAATGCAAATCAATTTATAACTTTTTTGTTGTTATTCTGTCTCTCACTTTTAAAATAAACCTACCATTAAAGTTATAGACCGATATTTCTTTGTCGGTGGGCAAATGTACAAAATCAGCAGGGGATCAAATAATTTTTTCCTTGACTGTATGTCTTTGTCAAACCAACATGTTTCATCTCTTTGCAACCTAAGTGAGTTTGTAACCAAGTTATTGCAAAATAATGATACTGTGTCAGACCATGTTGGTTGATGACTAATGAACAGTATTCTTTCTCTCATCTTTTGAAAGTATAGTTTTGCTTTGTTAAGTCATAAAAGTTGAGTTATGAAAACAAATCTAATCAAAAATGTTATTTGATAAATTTATTTTTATCTAAACATTTCAAGGGTTATAACTAAGTTTTAAAGAAAAGGATGCTTCTGTTTCATTTTTGCCCTCATACTCTTCTGGGATCTTGGATGGTGACACAAAACAAAGAATTCTTAGCTATCCATGGTTTTATTGAGTACTATATGGCAACATTTTGTTCAGTCAAATATTTACCAAGTTCCATCAAGAAACATGAGGGGAGAGAAGAAGATGGATTGTGACCCATGGGTACATGGAATGTCTTCCAATCAAGTCCTTATCTGTCCCTCTCTTTTTATAATGTGTCAGTACTCGCTACAGTACTTCAGCTGTACCCTCATTCATTATTGTTGGGCTAGGTACTGTCTGATGTGATGGGATGTTCAGCTACTGGTCAACTTCCTGCCTATTCTAGAATTTGTGATTTTTACATAGCCAGACCTGCATTGTTTGGATGCCTTTTGTTGTTGTGTTCTCTTTGTTTTGCTTGGATTATTGTTTCTGTATCACACTATTGAGTTCAGATGGAGTCCATGCATTTTTGTAACATCTTCTGTGCAACACGTTAGACTCCAGTTAGGAATAATTCCAGACTTCTCTCCACTAGCTAAGGAAGAAACAGGCATGATTTAAACTCTATGAAATAATTCCCTGAGATATTTCATATCCAGTACAAGCTCTATTTTTGTAAAATAAAAGCTTGTCTTATTTATTGGTCAAATTTATATGGCCATATCATGGGAAATCTCTCTGAGCAGCATACAACAATTACTGCAACTGTTTCCTACCTGTGTGGTGTAATAGGTTTGAAACCACTTTCTTTTGAGAATAGGGGAAATGATTTTTGCTATAACTGAATTACTGTAGTAGATCAATATTGTGCAGTCTGGCTTTGGTGAAAGCAGAATGAGTGTCCCTTATATTCAGTCTAGAGAAAGATGCTACTTGCATGTGTTTGTGTTTAGCACTTTAATGCCCAATTATGTTCAGTCTTTGTTGAAAGAAGAATCAATATAGAAAAAAGAAATAATTTTTTTTCTTTTTGTTGTTTTTTTTTCATTTTAGGCTTTTGGACAACTTTTTTTAGTGCCATTTTTAATGCAGTAAGTACTATTTTACTAACTGAATTACATAATAGAGACAAAGTGCAAGCAGAGTAAAATGGAGAACATGAAAAACAAACTCAAATTGAATGAGTCATGCACTGTAATGGGAGACAGAGAGCTTTTTCACCATAGCACTAGTTCTTCTAGGCTAACAATCTGATACTTTTAAATAATACATAATGTGGGAACGTTTCTATTTTACATATAGACCAAGCAGTGCAGTTTCTATAATAGCTTCTTGATGTGGTTCTGTATTGTGTTGGAGTGTAGAGTTAAAGATCTATTAAATATTAAAAAGTTCAAAATTTGCATAACATTCAATAATTGAACATACTGTCCATTCATGATTTGCCATTAATTTGAAACTTTTGAACACATGGAAGATGTTTAAGATATTATAGATAGTCTTTGAGCTATGACTAGTATGAGCTATGAGTATTCCAAGTTATGATGGCATTGAACAAATGGTGGTTATGACTGGATCTTGGAGTCTGGCTGTTCCACCATATCCACAGTGATCACAGTCTGGAAGTTTGACAACCTGTTTACACTTACAATTGGTTGCCAAGCATCCTCCAATCACATGATCGCTATTTGTTCAGAAAGTCAGTGGGGAGGATGGCAGGGAAGATCACGTCACTGGGATAAATCTCCCCCATCCCTTTACCCTCCACCAACCCTCTGCACTTATGCAAGCCACTTATGCACTTTCCCTCATCTGTGCTGTATCTCTGAGCATCCTCCCAACCCTTGTGGCACCTCTTGCACACCTCACCACAGCCTTTCTGACCTGCAACATGCATAAATTCCAGTCCCAATTAATATTAGAAGGACAGCAAGGACTACCTGTCTAGGACAACCTGTACTTAAGCTTAGCATATGGTTTGGGCATGAAAGGTAGATTTGGTGCTGTTATTATGTTCCTCTTTTCATCCTTTGAAGAGATGAAAAGCTTCCTAGTGCAATTATGCCTTTGACAGGGCTATTTAAATCAAGCCATGATCTGAACTGTCTCACCTTTTACATATGAAGGAAAAAGGAAGAAAAGAAGAAAGTGAGCCCAGGATTGTTTCTTTCTCATTACTAATCCATAGTTTTGAAACTGGTGTGAAGGTAGCCTGGATGCTGAAGGCAAATGGTCAGCTTGCTCCTTTTAGTCTGCCTGATCAAAGAATTATCTTAAATTCTAGTACTTGCGTTACAGATAATGCAAGAGTACTAGAGTTTGGGCCATTCATTCAATGACTGTTTGAAGTTACAGTGGCACTATATGAAGGGACTTACAACCAGTCTCTTCTGGCATCTTCAGAGACAAAAGTCAATGGGGAAGCCAGCAGGAAAGGTGACAAGTCACTTAAGAAAGTCTCGCCACCACCTTTCTTCACTCATATACACCACATTTTCTTCTCCCCTTCATTCACTTACGCTCACCAGAGCGCTTTCCCCTCAGTCTCCCTACATTCGCACACAGACATTCAACAAGCAGCACCCTCCTTATTCAGTCTCCCTAGGCTTACACACTCATACGCATGGACGTAATGCCCTCTTTCTCCACCCTCCTGTGTTCACATGAGTATGCACCCCACATCCTCTTTTCCTGGCTTCCTCAAGGTTATGCTGTGTTCCTGTACCCCAAACGTGCTACACCGGGCCTCCTGGGGTCTTCCTCCCCCCATGCCTCCCCCCTGTGCTTGTAGGGACCTGCCCCAAGTGTCGTTCTCAGGAAAGCACGACTCTTGACTCCATGTGGTTAATCAAAAGAACTTTTATTGAGAAACAGTAGTTGTAGTAGAGCCAAGTGGAATCTGACATTCCCGTGCCAAGTGCCAAGCTATTCTTCCCACTCTGAAACCCAACCCCCCACCAGTCCACCAGCAGCCAATACAGTGCCACAAGGTTGTTTTGAGAGTGTTGAGGTACAGGATAACGGTTGTCATCAGGGTGCATTGACCTTGGAGTCAGGCTAAAACCGGCTGGGAGTTCATCCCATCTCTGAGGATGATCACCCTCCCTAATTTCCATGCGGTTACAGCAAAAGTAAAAGCATGCAAACAGTGAAAGTGAAAGCATGCAAACAGGCCCCTCCAACGGGACCTGAGAGTGATCCTTACCTGGGCCTCTGTCTGCTTCCTGTTTCATAACCCACATATCTTAGGGTTGTGATGACAACCAGGACTGTCTGAATTATCAATAAGCAATATAGTCTTGTGATAATCACATTTAATGAGCACATCACTTAGCAATTGGGGTAACTCAAGGACTACCTGCATATGTTCTGGCTGATCTTTTTCCTGCATTTCTTGACAGAGAAAAACACAGAAGCTATGCTTGTAAAATTGATCTCCTGGCTTTCACAGCTGATATCTGTTGAGCAGTTTTGAGTTTCAGGGTTTAGTAAATATGCTCTAGACCAGGGCTTTTCAACCAGTGGTATGCGTACCACTGGTGGTACGCAACCACCTGGCTGGTGGTACGCGGCGTCGCCTCCCCCCCGCGGAGTCGCCTTCCTCCCCCTTGCTGCGCTCTTTCCCAGCTCACTTGTTTGTGGAAAACATGCTGCTTGTCTGCAGCCTCCACGAACCCTACCGAATGTGCCCTGCAGGGGGCGCGTGAAGAGCGCAGGTGCAGAGCAAGGCCCCACCCTCCCCAGGGACTCACTATGCAGCAATCGGATTGACTTCTTCTCGTGCACATAGGTCAGCGGGATCCGCATCGCCCTTCCCCTCTCTCTTCTTACTTCACAACAAGCACTAGCCTGATAGGAGACAGAGCCGTCCACTCCCTCGGCAGGAAGGGGTTTGAGACCGCTTGCGTCATGGCCCTGAGCGCCAACATCACAACTGTCCTTTTCCCCCTTCTATCTCTGTTGCGGCCTCACTCTCTTCCATCTTTTTTTCCTTCCCCCCCCCCTGCGAGCTTGCGATACCCCTCAGGGCCCTCACGTTGCCTCCCAGAGAACTCAGCTGTTCGGTGGCCAGAAGTCGGAGCTGCTCAGCTGTTGATTGGGACGCCCACTGAGCCAACACCCACGCTGCCAGGTAGAACGGCGCTGGCAACTGGTCTCCTTTGCCGCCCCACACGTTGTCCTTGACCCCTCCCCTACCCATTCATGTCAAGGCCACGGGGCTTGACAGGGAGAGAGGGAGTGAAGGAGGAAGGGACTCCTCCTCCTCTCCTAAGGTTCAAAGCATGATCAGCTTCCCAAGGGCACCACAATCCTCATGAAAGCGGGGGGAGAAGCAAAGGGGGTGAGAAAGCTTGCGGCGGGCTCGAAGGAGCACCTGTCAGCGTCGGAGACAAGAAACTTCCCCACAAACCCAGGGGAAGGGGTAAAGAAAAGGAGCCCCCTTTAGGAGGAAACCGCCACCTTCTTCTCCTCGGCTTTGTGCTCTCCTGTTTCTCGGCAGCCAGGCTGCCAAGCCTCTGCTGGCTGGAACTCCGCGTTTGTTTTGTTTTTTACTTCTCACCTTCACATGTTTCTGCCGTACCTCCTCAGTGCTCCCGGGAACGGGGTGGGCGGAAGAAAGCTTGGCTAGGCAAGGAAAAGCCAAAGAGCCACGAGCTAAGATTGCAGGCAGGCCGGGGAAGGGGGTGAAGAAGAGGAAGGGGATTGGGAGAGAGGAAATGCCAAGCTTGTCCTCGCCTCTCCCAAGGACCTCCTGCGCCACCTCACAGGAACACCTGGTTTCAGATTTACGCCACAAAAGTTTTTCTCGCACAGAGGAGAGAGGAAAAACAATTGCGGAACACTCAGGAATCCCTTGCAGGCACCATGTACCTTGGTGCTTATTTCCTAATGCCTTCCCCCCGTGTTTTCTGCTCCACCCCAAATTCGCCTCCCTTCCACTCTTCTTACATCTATGGTCTTAATACAGCCCTAAGTCTGTCTCGCTTTCAACACTCCCTAACATTCTTCATTCAGAAGAAAGAAGGGGTGTGAATTGGTGTGTGCTCAGAAACGCTGATTCCGCGCCCCTATCCTCTCACTCGCACAAGCAAGTGAGCTGGGCAAGAGCCCAGGATCGGGGCACGCAGCTACAGCTGATCCACGCTTCTGCAGAGCAGCCCAGAAGTGCAAATCAGCTGTAGCTGCTCTCCTGGGCTCCTGCTCAGCTCACTTGCTCAGACTTTGCTGGAAAATATGCCGCTTGCTAATTTAGTAGAAGCACGAATCAGCTGTAGCCTGGCGCTGATCCTGGTGCTTCTGCTAAATTAGTAAGTAGCATGTTTTCCAGCAAAGCACATGCAAGTGAGCTGGGCAGAGCTCTCCTCTGCCTCTGCCTCTGCGTGTGCACAGGCAGGTTTGGCATGTCGCCATGGCCACTGGCAGCATAGCCACCAGCCATGCTGGTGGCCTGTCCCCCTCCCCTTGTCCCTTCCTGGGCACAGAGGGGGGAGGAAGTAAGGGACAATGAGAGAGGTAAGGAAGGAAGGAACAATGGAAGGGAGGGAAGGAAAGAAGGGACAAAGTGAAGGAAGGAAGGAAGGAAGGGAGGGACAATGGAAGGGAGTGAGGGAAGGAGGAAGAGACAGGGAGGGAAGGAAAAAAGGAAGGAAAGAAGGAAGGGACAATGGAAGGGAGGGAGGGAAGGAAGGAAGGGACAAAGAGGGAGGGAAGGAAGAAAGGAAGGAAAGCAGGAAAGAAGGGACAATGGGAGGGAGAGAGGGAGGGAAGGAAGGCTCCCATCCCTGTCCCACCCCCTCCACCAGAGACCCACGGATCCCCCCTACATCCCCGCCCGCACCCCCCACAGGCACCCTGCAACCTGAGTGATGAGCTGGCCACACACCCCCGGCCATTGACTTCATTTGTCAAAAAGTTGCAAAAGGTGATCACATGACCCTGGGGATGCTGCAACAGTCATAAGTGTGAAAAATGGTTATAGGTCCCTTTTTTCAGTGCCGTTGTAACTTCGAACAGTCACTAAGCGAATTGTTGTAAGTTGAGGACTACCTATACTTTATCATTTTTTTCCTTTTTTTGGGGTCATCAATTTTTTGACACCTTGCTGGGCGACTGGTGGTACTCGGATATTGCCTTATCCTAAAAGTGGTACAATGGGTGAAAAGGTTGAAAAGCCCTGCTCTAGACCAGAGATCTCCAACCTTTCTTGGTTGGCGGACCGGAGGGAAAGGGAGGGGGAAGCATTTTACGTGTGTGCACGCACACACGAACGCACACACACACACACAAACACACATATACAAACGGGGCTGCGAGCATGGATGGTGCAAACAGGGTGGTGCTAGCGCCCATGTGACACTTGCTAACACCGCCCCATTTTTGCCATGTGACATCCCACTTGTGTAGCAGCGCTGGCGCGAGTGGAGGTAAGTGCATGGACACATGTGTGTGCACTGGCCAGCCTATTCTGCAGCCCAGTGGCCAGTAGGCCGTGGACCATAGGTTGGGGACCCCTGCTCTAAATAACAGATTTCCTGACATTTTGCTGGCAGCTTTGACTGGCTTCTTCAGATTCCAGGTGGTCTGCTCCCTGTACAATGGCCTTTTGTCTGCATAGCAGACCACTTTCTTCTGAAGATGCTAGCTACAGTTGCTGGCACAATATTAGAAAATCTGTTGTCTAAACTAGAGTTTGTATATCTGATCAGTTCTAGCAATGCAACTTTTTTGGCAAGATTTAGAATAATGTTATTATTGGAAAACTTTGAGGGAAATAGGCAGTACAGAAAAGTGAAAAATAAATAAAAAAAATAAAAGCTCATTAGAAAACAATTTTAAATTAGTGCTTGAATGATTTTTAAAAAACTTTCTTAAGAATGTAATAATAATACACTTTTTGCAGGATGAACAATTTTACTGCTCTACGCTACCTTGATATTCCTGAAGATCCTACTTTCATTCCATTGGTGGCTTCAGAAAGAAAAGAGCACAAGTCAGAATCAAAAAATGTCTCAGCAATTCTCCAAAGTTTGATGGAATCAAGGTATGTGTGTAATTTAAGGGGTAGGAAAGATATAGTTGCAAATACTTGAAAGCAATAGTTCTGTAAACTTTCATTGTGGGAATGAAATTTATCCACAAATTATAGCGAGTATTGAGAATCCATAAAGGGAGATACGTAGTTTCCCATTTCCACTGCATTATTGTTTTAAAATTAAGTGGAACTCTGGAATTCCTTATTAGAGTCATTAATGTTGAACAAATTGTATATTTTAATTCAGAATTGGAAATGAAGACATGTTTTCCATTGTTCTTCCTAGTGATTATCTTTTTTTGTTATGAAAAATAAATGATAAGGAAATGATAGGAAAAATGAAATTGAGTAATATGGGCGGGGCTTCGGCCTCTCTTCACAGCAGTTCTCAGCAGTAGAATATGGCAGTTGAGAAAGAAATGGAACCCTATCCAGGCAAACTGGATGAGTAATAGTGAAAGACTACCAATCTCAGATTGTTGCTGTTAAAAGGGAGATTAGAAAAGGGCCTTTATGCTTCTCAGTTAACATCTTACTCTTTTCAAATTATCCATGAATCTTTATTGTTCTTTTTTATGTCACAGTTCATGTTCTGCAAGTTCTGATTTCAGATTTAAAGGGATTCAGGATTACTTGAAATGCTATAGGTAAGGAATTCAATACTTTAAAAAAACCATGTTTGTTTATGGGTTTATTTTTCTTTCTCTTGATTGACAAACAGTAGGTTAAGGGTCAGTTTTGCTCCTATTTTTCACTCCATTCCAGAACAAATGGAGAAATATAAGCATTGTTTGTATTTTCCATAAAGATACCTTTAACGTGAGCAGGTGTGAATGTTTCTGTTGTGGAATTAACTCTGTTTATCTTTGTTCATGTGCACGTTTTCATTATTGAATAATCATTCCCAGTTTCTCCATGCTTCATATGTTTCAGGCAAACTATGGTTCTTGATTTTAAATTTACTTTTTAACTTTGGAATACCACTCCAGTGGTAAGGAATGACTTTGTGATTCATACAGGGGCCTATCAGTTATTATTATGCATAATCACATTAGATGGAACTAGATCGTCATGTTTTCCTCTGTCGGATACAAGAATATATATCAGAAGGAATTTAATTCTCACATTTCTCAGCCGCTCAATTCCCTAATAACTGAGCTGTTAACTGACATGGTTCATTCATCTTTAGAATCATAAGTAAACAATGCTTTGCAGCCAGAATATCTGAGCCATAAGGCGAATTGTTTGGCTTTACTTAGCATATTGCATGAATGAAAACACAGTGATTTTTTTCTCTCTCTCTCTTCAAATTGCAGCAACCATTCTGCTTCATTAAAGCACAAATGCTGTAGTATAGGACTCAGAAAGTCTTGATCCACTAAACATTTTCTTTAAAGAACTTGGGGTCGTGCAATTGAAATCTTACTGTTCAGGATTACTTGTGACCTCAGGATGAATCTGACAATAGACTGGAAATGTAACAACTTCCATTTTGACTGTTTACTAGATCTGGGGAAATAACACCCCAACAAGTTGCCAAGAACATTATTGCTGCCCTGAAAGAAGTTGGGAAAGCAGGTCCTAACCTCCAGGCAATTGTTCAGTGGAATGAGGATGAGATAATCAAGGTGTGTTCAGTGAGAGGAGTTTACTTGTTTCTTGAAAAAGGTATTCTCTAAATTATGTTATTACAGGGTGCTGAAGCTCTCTGATTTGAATTTCAGGTGGGATGCTTCATAGTTTACTTGTTTAAAGTACTGTTTCTATAGAGTAATTATAATACGTGGTTTATTTCACAAATCTCTCTGCTCAGATGGCTGAGGAATCCACAGCTCGTTACAGAAACAAGCAGCCCCTCTCACTCTTGGATGGAATTCCAGTGTGCTTAAAAGAAGAAATTAAAGTGGTATACACACATTTCACTTTTTTTGTTCAGTGCTGTTAAAAAGGAAAACAAATATCATATTGAGCATATAGGAAAGAAATATTAAGAAAGTATAACAGTACCTTAATACTATCAATGGATTGTACCTTGCATTAATATCAATATTCTAATACCTGTATACTAAAATACAATGCAAGAACATTTGAAATACCATATATTGTTCTTGCTACATCTCAATATGTTGAAGAACTAGAAAGGGAGCAGAAAAAGGAATCTAAAATGAGTCCCTTATGAAGAAATGTTTCAAAGTACATTTTAAGGCAATAAAGAATATGATACAGATGTATGAAAGGATGTTGTTTTATAATAGCGGAACTCAGTATCATTCAATGAAGCTGAAAAGAGAGAGACTGAGATAAAAAGTTCTTCATACAGCAGCATGTACTTAAATCACTGGTTCACAATCATTTTGGCTTAATGGCTATATTTCAAAAAGAGAATAGAGATAAGAAGGGCTAGGACAAAACCTCTAAATTTTATTTAATTAAATGCATTTAATAGGCATTTGCTTCGGGTATATAATGTTTGTAGAAGTTCTATGGCTTGTATAGGCTCTGAGGCATATTGTGAAATTTGCTATCACAAGATGTAATGACAATCACCAGCTTGAAGATATTTTTAAAAAGATAGGAAGAATTCATGGAGGATAAACTATCAGTGGTTGCTAGTTATCATGATTATACACAGTTATACATTAGAGACTGTGTCCAAGCAATATGCTGCTTATTACAATGAGTTTGCTGTGTTGTGGAATTCAGCGAAGTAAAGAGCACAACACTGAGGAGAAGAACCATGTTTGTTGTAATGATCACTACGTGTCTCCTTTACAAGATGGATTTTGAACAATGAAAAAACAAAGGGTTTTTACAGAAATTGTTGGATGCAAGTCAAGAAATTTTAGAGATCTTATTAGTTGGCCAATTTGGGGAAGTTATGCGGATCCTCATTGGTGTATCTGGGGGGAGATCCATTAGGCAAAGTGGGCCTTATATGAGGACAGCAGAGCTGGAGAAATTAATTGTGAATGAGGTGAAATGATGAGATCACCAACTGATTAGAAGATGGAAGGTTTGAATTTCTTTAAGTTGCAATTTTCTTGTAAGGGTGGCCCTTGGGCTGTGCGGTGAGTGGTAAGGAGGTTTCTGTTTTTTAGTCTAGATGTGATTTCAGGGGGGTTGAGATGGACAGGTGTCAGTTTGGGCCTGATGAGATTAGGCAAAGAGAGAAATCGGGTTTGATTTAAAAAGGATGCACATTTTCTTATGAAATTGTGTTCTGTGTGGTTTATTGCTATTGGATTTATTGCCATAAATGATCTATAGTACTGGGCTGTATTTATAAAGAATCTTATACAGAATATTTTTTGGTATTTATAAGGTGCCCTACCACCATCGAAGTGGAACTGTATACTTGGGCACAAAGCCAGAAACTGAAGATGCCACTGTGACAAAGAAACTACGGCAGGCTGGTGCCATTATCATAGGCATCTCGAACATGCATGAATTGGGTATTGGGACCACTGGCTGTAATCCCAATAGGTAAAATAGTTCGTATTCACTACATGGATTTTCATTCAAACTGTTTCTTGTGAGGGCTAGAATGGACAGTTAGAAAAATAATCAAGCTTTTTGACATCTTGAATGCTAAAACAGTGTAATGTAAGCTTATTGAGGGTGGGAGTACAGAAGGATGGAAGGTGAGAAGAAAGATTTAAAAATACCACTGAATAGTTACATTGTTTCCAGAAAAAATAAAAAGTATGGCAACTCTCTGAATTTTTGTGCTGAATAAACTTCCCTGAACACTACTTTCCTTCTTTCTTGGTAGCAGTAGTACCTTTCTGAATTGAGCTGTCTTAGATTGCAGGTGTGAAACTAGTGGGGCTGGAGAAGCTTTTTTTAGGTACCTCTAGGCAAGCAAAAGGGAGAAAAGCGATTTTATAATACTAAAAGAATGGGATTACAATGGTTTTGGAGCAATCAGTAATAGTACAAACTTGACTGCCTTCTCCTACTCTGATGGTTTGCCAGTGCTCTTCTTTCAATTCTGTACTTATGATCTTTTTCCTTAAATCTCCTGTCTCCATTATTCCTGCCTCTCTCAGACCTGGCAGAAGATGCAATTTTAGTTTTGCTTGTGGCATGTAATTTCTTTAGCATGTAAAGATACTTCCTTCTCTCCTCACCAGCCTTCATTTTGATAGCCTTCAAAATATCTATTTATTTTATTTCTAGATATCATGGTACAACTAGAAATCCATACAATCCCCACCATTTTACTGGTGGTAGTTCTAGTGGATCAGCAGCAGCAGTGGCTGCAGGTAAGGCTAGTATTGCAGATGAAAATATTGAGAATGGAGTGGAAAAACCAAGCCAAACTACAGCAACATTTCAAGTTTTTGTTCAGATTAGGCGGGTGCAGAAAAATGATGGAGAAAATAATTTTATTCAATGGGATTTTCTCTTAATTCCATTTTTCTTTAGGCCTCTGTCCACTGGCTATTGGTACAGATGGAGGTGGTTCTGTGAGGATCCCAGCTTCTTTCTGTGGTGTTGTGGGACTGAAAGGTAAATTCTGTGCTGATAGAAATATCAGGAAAAATGAATTCTGATGGCCATATTCTTGAAAATGAAATAATAAATATCAGTTTATTAGAATCACTTATATAAAACTGAGGGAATAAAAATTGAAAGAAATAAAACAGGCAAGATGGGGGTTGCAGTGTTGTGATCAAAGTACCATCTCTATGTATATGTGCTGACACGTGTACAAAATGGACAGGACTTTGGTTGTGATGCTGTGGCCTTAGTGTTGTCTGTTTTGATTGCCATATGGATGCTCCTGAAGGTACTTCTGCAATACAGCTACCTGAAATCTTCCAAACCTAGTTCCTGTATTCAAGTTGAGTTCATTTACTTGACTGATGTTTGAGCTAAGACAAGGAAGCACTCAGCTGGATTGGTCACTTTTTTTTCTTAGGATGTATCACTCGGCATTTGCCTAAAGTATGTCTGACATTCACTTTGTAATTTTAATCATTCTGCTCTATGTTGTCTGCAGGTACATTTGGACGGATCAGTGGATTTGGTTGTCTTCCTCTCTCATATTCTACTGTTAGTCTTGGTAAGATGTCTCTAGCTGTATATAGGTATTGAGTGTCCTTGGGAGAAAAAGGAGAAGCTAGTTTCTATGCCATTGATTTAATTTAAATGAGAAATTATAAGGACTTGGAGATATTTTGACTGTTTAAAAATTGATATGTGAGTTATATATGAGAAAACATAGGGAATGATGCATGACAGGCAACATAAAACTTTTATAGCAGGTCCTGGTTTGTCTTTTCCAATATGCTTCATTTTTTGCAAAATCATAACTTCTACATTGGCTGTTGGTGTTAATTCTGGATTGGCACCAAACCTCTTGATCCAACTCTTCCTTGGGCAGTTGAGCTGATTTACTTCTTGTTTGTCTGATGATAGCAGAAATCAGAAATCTCCCCATAACCCTGTTGGTTGCTCCCCCTGCTATGTAAACAATGTGTTGCCTGAGTAACTAGCTTTTTCCAAAACATCAGTGAAGACATGTAGGCCTGCACCTTCACAGGACAATCATCCTTCACAGGACAAAAATAAAAGCTAGTGGTTTCCTTCCTTCCGATCCACATTTTATCTCTTTATCTTCCATAACAACATATGTTTTTATCGTTATCTGATGGAAGAAATGAGGAGGAATGCATGTAATCTTTGGAAACTGCCTAAGTGTTTGATAGCTGATACTGAAAAGAAGATTGAGATGTAAGGTATGCTTAGAACCCTTTCAAAAGAGCAGTTTGCTGCATTACTGTATAGTAATAGTAAACTTTGAAGATGATAAAGAATGAAATACAACTATAATTATTTGAAAAGAAAGATTATTTGATTTTATTCTGTTCTTGGGCAAAAGAAAGAGTTATTCTTGGATGTTGCCATTGCACCAAAATCAGAAATATCATCCACAATAAGTTGTCTGGTAGAATACTTCCTTCTTTCATTTTCTAAAACAGACACCAGTGTTTTAACACTTATTTTGTTTTCTCCCATAATCTAAGGAACTATAAAGTTTTCTTAAATTCAGAAATGATCAGAAATTATAGGACCACTAGAAAAGTGAATGACCTGTTTTTGTTTTTCATTTTGCCAGGCCCTCTCTGCATTTCAGTTGCAGATACTGCTGTTGCTTATGCTACCTTGGCTGGGCCAGATTTACAGTATCCATATGGTGTGTATTGCTACTTACTCACTTGAAACACAAGGAAGGAGGGTGGTTTTTTTTCTATTATATGAAAAGTCTATGCCTGTTCTTACTTCTTTAAACCCATTTACAGGATTACACCAACCGGAACCATCCTTCTCAGAAAACTTCAGCACTGATCTGAATGGTTTAAAATTGGGAATTGACTGGAGTTTCTTTAAGGTGTCTGTTTGTCTTTCTATTTTTTCTGCATTAACATTTTATACATGGTCAACCAATTATAATATTTTAGGGACAGACTTTGGTTCTTATATGAGTTTTGAGACATGTTTGCAATAGAAAAGGGAGTTGTGTCGTGATTATGTGAAATGGTGAAAAACATGGGAGGTAGTGAATGTCTTACAGTGATTCTGGAAAAAATGAGGAAGGACACTAACTCCATTTTGTTTTGTCTGATCTGCTAGGCATGTGATACTGAAATCTTAGCTGTCTGCCAAAAAGGTAACATGCAAAAGATTATTATTTTTTGCTGATAAGTGATGTATCCTGGCCTGCTGAGTATCTCTTGCTTATACATCTTGAAGATCAAAACTGCCTTGCAATTTCCAAATCACTGCATGAATGTTTGAAAAGTGAAAGTGTTTCAGAAAGCTGTACTTTGTTCCTGAGAAAATGTAATGTAAGGACAAATATGTGCATAGAACAGCGGTTCTCAACCTGTGGGTCGCGACCCCTTTTGGGGTTGAACATATATTTCCGATGGTCTTAGGAACCGAGACACCGCTCCGCATCTGTCTCTGCACAGCCTCCTCTGCCACTTGCAGAGAGAGAGAGAGAGAGAGAGAGAGAGGCACTTTCGCTTCCCTTCTCTCTCTCTCTCTCTCTCTCTCTCTTTCTCTCAGGCGGACTTACCTCCTGCAGGGCTCCTGATTGGCCCTGCGCCCGGGTGCCCCATCCCCTGGGAGAAGCATGACCAGGGCCTTGTGGCTTGGAGCCACCCAGGGAAGCCCTGGGATCCCTGCTGGGAGCGGCCCGCTGGAGGCTCCGCTGAGCGGGACAGCCCTCCCACAAGCCGTGACCCAAGGGAGACCAGCCCCTGCAATCCCTAGCCAGCCGGACCATTGGACCTGCTGGCCAGAAAGGCACGCCGGAATCCAGGCTGCTGGGAAGGAAGAAGGAGAGGCAGCAAAGGTAGGAGAGGAGAGCCGCTTCCTGGGGCCCAGCGCTGGCGGCGGCTTCCTTGCCCTCCACTTCCTCCTCCCCTTCTTCCTCTTGCTTCCCCCAAAGTGGCTCGGGTGGGCACCGGGACAAGAGGGGTGCCTAGGGGGGGGGAGCAGCTGGGCTGGACGAGGGGCTGGCAGGGGCCGTGCAGCACCAGCCCCCACCGCGGCTCCATTGGATGGGCGAAGGGCAAGGCCAGGCAGTGCGGAGTCCCAGCTAGGGCGACTGCTTCCTTGCCCTCCTCCTCTCCTTCCTCCTGCTGCCCCCCCAGGAGGCTTGGGCAGGCACTGCCTCCACCGCAGCTCCATAGATGGGCGGAGGGCGAGGCTGGGCAGCGCGGAATCCCAGTGGGGGCGGTGGCCAGGCCGGGGCTGCAGGGACCCCGACAATGCTGCCCTGTTGCTGCCGCTGCTGTCGGAGCCACTGCCTCCCATCCTGCTCCCCCTCCCTGCCCGTTCGGCTGGGGACGCGCAGAGGCCAGGGGCGGTGGGGACCCCTGACGATACTGCTGTAAGAGAGAGAAAGAGAGAGAGGAAAGAGAGAGAAACAGAGGAAAAGAAAGAGGAAAGAGAGAGAGAAAGAGAAAAAGGGAGGAAACAGAGAAAGGGGAAAGAGAGAAAGAGAGAGGAAAGAGACTGCCTTCCCAGTCGCCGAGAAAGGGAAAAAAAGAGCCATGAGTGAGTTCCCCTTTCTGCCTCGTTGCTGAAAGCTTTTTTTTTAAAAAAATGACCGCTCGTTCAGAACTCCTTGGGGCTTGTTTGCACGAGTTGTGGCAGATCAGTAAATAAAGGTGTGGGGGAGCCAAATGGTCCAAGATGTTTGCACCCTGAATGTGTGGACGCTGCTTTCATGATTTGCCACCACCACCCCCTCTCTTCCCGCCCTGCTCGGGCAACGTGCTGCTGTTGCTGCTACTGCTAGCTGAGCTGAGTTGAGCTGCGGTGCTGAGCCAATCCCCACACCTCCTGGTTGCCCGGCCATGCTCGGCTGCTGGCCGCCCTCCATGCTGCACCGGAGCCTTCCCTGCACCGCCCGGCCTGCCTCCCTTGCCGTTGGAGGGCATCTCTGTGTGTTTCCAGACCTTACTGGACTACCATCCCCAGCAGCCCTAAAAAGCACTGTGAAAGAGTGAGGAATGCTGGGAGTTGCAGTTCATCACCATCTGGAAAAACATGACTCTCCAAAGATCAATCAGTTCTTCCTTCCATCCATCCATCTCCTTCCCTTCCCCTTCAATCTCTCCTTGCTTCCTTCCTTTCTTTCCCCCTCAATCTCCTTCCTTCTCCATCTCCTTCCTTTCCCCTTCAACCTTCCTTCCTTTCTTTCATCTCCATCCCTTCCCTTTTAATCTCTCTCTCTCCTTCCTTCCTTCCTTTCCCCCTCAATCTCCTTCCTTCTCCATCTCCTTTCTTTCCCCTTTAATCTTCCTTCCTTCCTTCCTTCCTTCCTTCCTTCCTTCCTTCCTTCCTTCCTTCCATCTCCATCTCTTCCCCTTCAATCTCCTTCCTTCCTTCCCCCTTCAATCTTCCTTCCTTCCTTCCTTCCTTCCTTCCTTCCTTCCTTCCTTCCTTCCTTCCTTCCTTCCCCTTCCTTCCTTCCTTCCTTCCTTCCTTCTCCTTCCTTCCTTCCTTCCTTCCTTCCTCCCTTCCTTCCATCTCCATCCCTTTCCCTTCAATCTCTCTCTCCTTCCTTTCTTCCTTCCCCCTTCAATTTCCTTCCTTCCATCTCCATCCCTTCCCCTTCAATCTTTCTCCTTCCTTCCCCTTCAATCTCCTTCCTTCTCCATCTCCATCCCTTCCCCTTCAATCTCTCTCTCTTCTTCTTCCTTCCTTCCTTCCTTCCTTCCTTCCTTCCTTCCTTCCTTCCTTCCTTCCTTCATCTCCTTCCCTTCCCCTTCAGTCTCTCCTTCCTTCCTTCCTTCCTTCCTTTCCCCCTCAATCTCCTTCCTTCTCCATCTCCTTCCTTTCCCCTTCAATCTTCCCTCCTTCCTTCCTTCCTTCCTTCCTTCCTTCCTTCCTTCCTTCCTTCCTTCCTTCCTTCCTTCCTTCCCCATCCAATCTTCCTTCCTTCCTTCCCCTTCCCTCCCTCCCAACATTTTTGAGCAAGGAAGAGTAAGCTTCTCCATCAAGCATTACTATATTGTTTTTGTGATTAATCACTATGCTTTAATTATGTTCACTTCGTAACAATGAAAATACACCCTGCGTATCAGATATTTACATTAATATTCATAACAGTAGCAAAATTACAATTATGAAGTAGCAACGAAAATAATTTTATGGTTGGGGGTCACCACAACATGAGGAACTGTATTAAAGGGTCGTGGCATTAGAAAGGTTGAGAACCACTGGCATAGAACATATGTATGTAGCTTTTGGATTTTTCACTATTAACTATTTATCATGAAAAAGTAGTTAAAATAAAAAAAAAGATCAGTAATACAGATGGGTGAAAAGGAGGCTGGGATAATAGCACACTGAAGGTAGCCCAGTGAGTTCAGGTTGCAAGAGGAAAATAACCTCCTGCATCAGAGGTAAGGTGATTAGAATATTTTTTGAATGTTCTTTTTTGAAGTGAAATCCATCCAGGATAGCTATGTTTTGGTATGTTAATAAGCCTCCATTCTCAGTGCAATTTTTGATCCTCCAAAACAAATTTGAATTTGGAATTTCTTCCTTGTAGAGCAAAAGCAACTTTGATTTGGAGGTAATTTTCTTCAAGCAAATGATGTGAAGGGAAAAAATAAGCATTTTCTCCTCACAGTGCCATTGTTTAAAAAGCGCAAGAGATTTTCCATATTTAGAGGAAATATTTATTGGAGACTTCTAATTTATAGGTTTACTTCTTGTCAGTACTATGTACCAGTCATCCATGAACTACAACAAACACAGACCTCTTACTAGCAAACAAAAATTCATTGAGCACATATAAACTGATACCATGAACTGCTAGCACCACCTAGTAGGGTATTATGCATGTATTTTATATTCGTGGAAGAAAGCTAATTAAGTTGCAAAGGATGGATTATTTTTTGATGATTTCACAATTGTGCATTTTGCTTGGAATTGTTCTATTTGGACAGTTTTAGGATGGTCAAGGAGGAGTTGTATGGATTTTTCTACACAAGTAATCCCTGAGTTATGAGTGTTCCCTTAGTGAATGTTTGAAGTTACATGATAAGTGCCCCCTAGTGTTTACAAAAAACTCCCAAAATTACAACTGTTGCTGCAGTACAGCAGTTGTTCACTCTTACGAATGACCACAGTGGCACTGCAACATTCACCTTGGCTATTCCCTCCCTCCCTCCCCACCCGGGTCTCTCTAGGCACTAGTCCTATGGATACTTACCTTATGAAGATTGAGATCCTTCACTTTCTTGGCTGCTCCAGGCCTTCGGTGTGTTGCAGAGATTGGCGGCCTGCAACATACGTGATCTCATGCTACTGATCTCGTGTTATCTCACAGTACTTTAGGCCTCTGTTCTCTGCAACAGAGAATGTATCTGAAGCTGGGGCAGGCTTCCGCATGCCTCCGGAGGTCTGATCCGGGTGTTGGAGGCCTTTTTCGGGTGCTGCCACCGAGAAAGCAGGCCTGGGGAGGCTTCTGCATGCGCCCGGAGGTCCGTTTTGGCCCTCAGTGGCCTTCTCCAGGCCTCGAGGCCCAGAATGGAGGCTGTGGGCAGCAGCCATGTGCTTCCAGAGGTCTGTTCTGGGCCTCAGAGGCCTCCCTCTGCTCTTGCCAGCAGCAGAAAAAGAAACAGGCTGGAGAAGAGGCAGATTTTCATAAGGTAAGTGACTCGGAGAGGCAGGAATGGATAGGAGAGCAATTGTGGGTTCCTCAGGGGAGGGAGCATGAGGTATCTCGGTGGGGGCGGGCTTGGGTGGTCTGAAGCAGATGGCCTGTTCCATCACTAGGCCCCCCATGGCTTTCCCCATCCTGAGATACCTCATGTTCACTTAACAAGCTGCATATTAAATTAGTGAATGCGTGAGCCAAAGCTGGGAATGAATCGTGTTCAAGGTACGAGATTTACTTCTATGAATCCTTGTTACGAATAGAATGGGCAGGCTCCATTACATTCACAACTCAAGGACTATCTGTATTATTTTTTACATTTTTGCATCATTGTTGATATCAAAGAACAATATAATTGCTCCATAAAAGAGGATCTGGATTGGATTGTAGCACAAAGATTGTAGAATCCTGGTTTCCCAAAATTAATTAATTAATTAATTAATTCATTCATTCATTCATTCATTCATTCTTCCTGATATTGCTGAATGCTCAGCGGTGGAGTTCCTAGTGGACTTAGGAGCCTCAGTAGTTGAAGTATCTTTGCCAGAGATAGAAGAGGTTCGCGTGGCTCATGTAATCTGCATTCTCAGTGAAATGAGAGATTTTCTGCAGTCTGATTTCAACAATCTGTTTGAACAAATGGTAAGTAGTGGTTGTACTCACTGTATCAATTGGTATTTTTAACAAATCATGACAAGGGTCTCAATTTTCTGCCCTTTGTATTCACAAGAATCTGTGGTTGGGTTGCTGGTTCCTTCTGTATATGAAATGCCTACATCAGTATTGCAATGTACCCTCATATTAGCTTGGGGCACGATGGCTCAGTACTGAACTTGTCAGCTGGAAAGCTGATAGCCTGGGTTCGAGACCTGAGCTCCATGCAACAGGGTGAGCTCTTGTTACTTGCCCATCTTGCAGTTCGAAAGCATGCAAATGCAAGTAGATAAATAGGTACCACTTTGGTAGGAAGGTAACAGTGTTCCATATGCCTTTGGCATATAGCCATGCTAGCCACATGACCACAGAACTTGTCTTCGGACAACGCTGGTTCCCTTGGCCAAGAAATGGAGATGAGCACCATGCCCTAGAGTCAGACACGATTGACAGGGAAATCTTTACATTTTACCTCACATTAGATACCATTCCAGTTGCTGTCCAGATTGATTTTAAGATGTAATTAGCAACATGAAGTTCTCTTTGGCCTCAGGATGATTTTATTCAAGGAATGTATAATTCTTGAAAGCCACAGCATAGTGCCAGAGTCTTGGACCTCCCTCTTCATCAAGACTCCAGACCCACTAGACCTCACTAATATGTTACCTTCCTTTGTTATGTGTGATTTGAAGCATCAGTAGGGACTTTTGTTCCACTAAAAAGTGGGGTGTTGGCTTGTTCACTTGCTTATTTTTGAGGCTTCCTAAGTGAGTACAAGAGAATTTATTTTTCAAAAAATCTTTTCCAAAAATGCATGTTATTTTAAACAGTTCTTCTCTCATGGCAATCTTTAGACATTTATATATTAAACTTCTGTGCCACCCATCTTGCTGAGATGATACTTGGCAGCTTATGGTCATTCAGTATAAAACATTAAAACAATAAAGATCATAAATTTAAAATTCAGTTAAAATCCAGTTGACTAAGATGGAGAGGGAAGGGAGAAAAATATGCACGGGGAAGAGGTGGGATCTATCAGACAGGATTTAAGATAGGAAAATAAGATTAACAGTTAAGATTAATAAAGATGCCTGTTGGAAGAGATATTCCAAGAGTTCTGTCTTCTTAAGATGTAAAGTGGGGTGGGTCCTTACAGATTGCATATTTATTTGTATAATTTTGTCTTAAGCTTCAATGGCGAAATCTAAGAAATATTTTCTAAGAAACTGGCACTTATTTCTTTTTTTGACTTTTTCTCAGATGTGTCCTAAATATGGGTGTGTTTTTAGAATTGTTCACTACACTGCTTTACAGCTTTCCTATTCAACAATAGTTTTACTTTGGTTTTGGTTTTCATTCCATATGGAATACTTACTGTAATGTCTTTGTTTTTCAGAATTTGGAGACTCGTTTGAACCTTGCAATTGCTTCTCAAATCACAGCCGTGGATTATATTAAGGTGAAAACAAACTGCAGGAATAGGAGAGCTGGGGTAAAAAGCCATTTTAGGTCAATAACATTCCCCTTGTACACAAGGGGAAGAAAAAGTAGGGAAAATAGTAAAATGTTGGCTAAATTACCATCCGTTCAAAAAAGCAGATAAATCATCTGGCATACTACTAAAACTAACTTTTGAAGTGAACATTGAATATGAATGGATTTCATTAACCCATTTTTTTCAAGCATATCTTTCATTTAAAGGCCAGACAGATGAGACAAATATATGCTGTTATTTTTATCTTGATGTTTAGCATCTTTGCTAATAGAAAATAAACTAGGCATGATATTTTAATGTTATAGCTGTCCCAGCCATTGTCCCTTTGCTTGATTAGAGAGTTCTGTAATGTTCACAATCTGAGACAGTGTAGTTTTTATATTGGACTAATAGAAGTGTAATGTTTCCATGTATTTCCCATTTTATTTTTCCGCTTGACAAAGCAAGAAGGAAAGATTGGAAGTATCTATTTTAAACCTATATTTCTTACCACATTGTTATAGTTAACTTAATGAATTTTGGACTGGCTTGGAATTTTCAGAGTTATATTCAACACATCTGGAGAATGCTACTTGTGGAAGGATAGTTTAAATGTTAGTTTGTAAAAGCAAATTAGAATCAAGCTTAAATTTATGGAATTTACTACCATAACTTGATCAATGTAGCTTGTTCAGATCAGAAATGAAAAAAGACTTAACTACTGCTCATTCAAATTAAAGTCTTTCTTCTCCCTCTCCCAATCTTGGTATTAGGTTTTAAAACTTGAGTTTGTTTTTACTAGCTTGAGTTTTGTCTATTTGCAGGCAAATCGGCAGCGGAGTCGAAGCATAGCTTCCCTGAAAGAGATATTTTCAAAAGTGAATTGTCTCCTTACACCAGGTAAACAAAATGAACAAAATGAACAAAATGAACAAAAAAAAAGTGCAAGAAAAAAAGGGCCTTTGTGGTCACTGTTTGCCATTGTTTTCTTCTGAAGAGGAGGAAGGGAAGGCAAATAGTTCTTTGGCTGATCTGGGGCTCCACGTGGCTGTCTGCTGAAAATAAGATTCGGGAGGTCTTTATATGCCTTCTGCATTATACAACAGAATTTGTTCTGGCCTGTCTCATCTACTTGCATCTTCCTTTTTCACTTTCTCTCATACATGAACACTCAATAGACAAAGAAGGAGCTGGGTTGAATACCTTCCTCTTTGCACAAGGTTGAGCTAAAACTAAAAGGAAAAGCTATTCTAAACTAGATGGGAAAAGTATAATCCAGGGATGTCAAACTCTATTTCATTGAGAACCACATCAGCATTATGGTTGCCCTGGTGGCGTGGCCAACTGAGTGGGCGTGGCCACCTTGACATCGCTTGTGTCAGGGTGCCTGTGGGGGCTGGGCGGGGTTGGGATTCAGGGGTCTCTGGTGGGTGGGGTAATAGGTGGGAGGCTTGTCCCATGGGGTGAGGAGAGGCAGGAGGTGGGATGGCTGCTGCCGGACACTATCAGCTCCCATGCACAGAGTCTGGCCAGCTCACAGGGCCGACGGTGTCAGGCAGCAACCACAGCCTGCTGGTCCCTTGGCCGGTGCATTCTGGGGCTCCGTAGCCCGCTGCCCTCCAAGCAGCAGGCAGGGTGGCAGCACTAGCAGCAGGTGGAGTCGGAGGGGGAGGCATGTGGTGCTGCTGCCCTGCCTTCTGCTTGGAGGACTGGCCTGGTGGTCTCAGTGGGCTGTGGAACCCCTGCTGCTGGACAGTGTTGGCTGCCACGTGCTGACCGCCTCCAGCTGGGTGGGGGCAGGGTAGCAGGGGCCAGTCTCTTGCCATCTCCGGAGTGGCCCTGTGGACTAAATATGAGCACAGGGCCTTGTGTTTGACATGTCTGGTATAAGCCCTCCTTCTAGCCAGCAGAGGTGGAATCAAGCTGTGCTTCCATCTTCAGGTAACTTTATTTAAAAAATTTATTGAGAGTTAAATGTGGCATCAGACTTGATATGACTCCCATTTTTTGGTACTTGGAAGATCTCACTAAGCTAAATATTAGAAGTTCATTACAAGAACATTAGTATTTGTGTCATATGAGAATAAGGACATGCTGCTCCCCTCCTTGGCACCCCTGCAGGAGGACAGGAGCAGTTGCACCCTTAGGTTGCATGGCTTTGTCCCGGAAACAGGTGCCATTTTCACAATGGCCACACTTTATTGCAGCCGCTCCAAAATGGGGCCTACTTCCAGGACAGAGCTAGGCAGCCTAGGGATGCGGAGAAGTGGAGTAGCCTGCTCTCCTTTCCCAACGTGAGATCCAGAGCCCTTCCAGAGGTAAGTTTATGATGGGTGAGGGGGGGTGGAGCCCAGAGGAGTGAGAAGCAGGCTCAAAGCCTGTGGGGACCTATCATGGGAGGAAGCAGGCTTAAGGTGTGTGGGGACTATTAGGGCAGGATGGAGGGAAATAGGCTGGGGAACTGCTCTAGCATCCCTGCAGTCAGTTTCCCTGCAATTGGTTGCAAGGATGAATGACCACAGGGGCGCTGCAGCAGCTATAACTTTGAAACTGGACCATAAGTAATTTATGTAGGGTTTGTCATAGGTTTGAACTGATACTAAGCAACCAGTTGTTAAGTTGAAGATTACCTATACTGAAAAACTCCTTAAAGCTGATGCTTTGTGGTTGAAGCATGATGAGTTTGCTTAGCAAGTGTTTAGACTGACACATGTAGAGAGTTGTAGAAAGAAGTAGGAGAGTTTCTATAATTGGTCTTGCTAAATGACTCAATGAAAAAAAGGAAAATTGGTTTATAAAGTTAAGATCAATCATTATGCATATACATATCCTCTTCACGACCTGTTTTCCTTGTTACCTTCTGGGAGGAGGAGAAGAAGGTCGGTCAGTAAAATGGCCGATCACTTCGCTGTGCCAGCTGAAGTCAGAAAATCATCTAAGCATAAAGAACCACCGTGGTGAATCCGGGTGAGACCTTTCCTCCCTCTCTCCATTCTGAACTACTTTTCCTACAAAAAACTTGCTTTTTGGATGACTTCCCTGTTTTAAGAAAGCAGCTTCTGTCTGTTTGGGGGAAAAATAATAATAATACTTTAAACCAACTATAGAAATAGTACTCATTATATTTTGAACCTTTTGGATATTGGGCATCCCTGGAAAGATTTCCAATTTAGAGCATTATTTTACTTACTATACTGAAGATATTTGCTTTTTCCTGTCTCTTTCGTTGCCATTCTTAATGAGATAAAGGCTTTTAACTGCAAAGAAAAGGTTTCTATAGCTTACTGAGGACATCTTGTGGCGAAAATAGTGTTGGAGAACACTACTTCAGGAATTAATAAGAAGAAAAGATAAAGGCTTGGAAACAGCTGTGGGTTGTGTTTGTGATTTAAAAATTGTGGAGGCGGATGTATATGGACTCTTAATAAATATAGTTTCCACAAAAACTTTAAAAGATTCTTTTACTATGGAAATAGAAGACTTTTACCCACAGCTTGACTATGAGCTGATATTGGAAAAAATATTGGAAATGACAGAGGAGATGAAGTTATGGAGAAAAACTAAAGGTTATTTTGCAGAACCACAAGCTGAGCCTCAAACTTTAAATGATCAACCTATAGGCCAAGAAGAAGCCTATATGCAACAGTATACACAATCTGAGATGGAAGAAGAAGTTACTGATCAATTGAATTCTGGACTGGATTATGAGCTGATATTGGAAAAAATATTGGAAATGACAGAGGAGATGAAGTCATGGAGAAAAACTAAAGATCATCTTCTAGAATCACAAGCTGAGCCCCAAATTTTAAAAGACCAATCTACAGGCCAAGAAGAAGCTTATATGCAACAGTGTACACAATTTGAGATGGAAGAACTCACTGATCAATTGAACCTTGGAAAAATTCTGGACCCAAAATCCCAGATTGAGACCTTAAATAACTTTATAAATCAACTAACTTTATAAATCAACTAACTACTACAGAGGAGGATATTTCACAAGTCTATCTACAAATGGAGAACTTTGAAGATCAAAAAATGACTATAAGTGAAGTTCTCCCATTGCCAAAATTAACAGGAATTGACAGCCAGACGTGATCGATTGAAATTCATGACAACCTGGATAAGCAAGCTGAAATTATAATATGGAATAAAATGGATTATACTGCGTATATGATACTGGAAGAAGGGGAAGAGAATTTTGATCAGATTTGTTGATAAACATTAGTACTCAAATATTGAGATTTGATGACATAGAAGCGACAGTATGGAAACCAGTTTGGTATAGAAAAAAAGCCAGAGTTAGATTTAAAAATGTGATTTAAAATTTTAATTATTGGGTCAAAAAGGCTTTAGAAATTTGGACTGATTGGACAATCTAATTGAGTAAATGAAAGCAGTAAGATAATAATTGGTGTAATAATATGTCTGTCTTAGATACGATACTTAATTTGGTTGAGAGTTAAATTTTACTTAACAGGGTGAAATGATTCTTTTTTTGTTTTTGTTTTACTCTGTTTATATAGAAAACTATTTTGTAATAGCAGAAGAATTAGAGAGATCTATGATAAGAGAAGAAAGGGTATTAATTAATGATGTATCAAATTAAAAGATGGAATATATGTGAAAATATTAGAATGTTATTCTTGGAATATTATGTGTTTAGAAGGGATACCCAAAATTTTATTAATATGTTTGTTTAAGATCAGTTGGAATATTTTAATTGAAATTAGTGGAGCTTAAAAGCAAGAGTGATTTATGTAGATGGAATAGTAGGGATGATTTTGTGGATTGATTGAATTTTAAGAAGAAATAGATTAAACTAAATTTGCTATATTATGTGAGGAAATAGAGGGGGGGATTTTTTTAAGGTAATAATTTTAGTTATATATACATGACTTGTTTTGTTATGATTGATTACCCTTTCACCACGATGTTTTCCTGAGCACTTTGATGTTAAAATTAAAAAAATCAATAAAATGTATAGTTAAAAAAAAAAGAAAAATAAAGAAGTGATGAGATCCTGCTCATTGGCCATGTCCAAGCAGAAGTGATATAACTATCAGTTCAAGATACTTAGATTTGATTTTATGAAGGTATATTGTTCTTTAAAAGCTGAAAACTCACATCATTGGGAGTCAGATGGAATATAAATTTAATAAGTTATTTACTAAAGCCATGCAGTTATTTATAAAATAATTATAAATTTATAAAGATGTGTATATTTTAAACAGTATATTTGAATTTCCAAAGACAACATAGTCAAAATGTCTTCGTTAAAAAACTATTTTAATAGAGTAGTATGATTTTTTATTCCTAATTGAAAAGTTCTGTATTTATTTTTGTTTTGTGTAAGGTACTGCATGTTGTGCCCCAGTGATCCATGAATCAGACCTCCTGACTGGATGTAGTGATGTTCAGACAACTCTACGGACCATGAGGTGAGAACAAGATTGTGTGCAATAAAAAAACAAAATGACATCTGCAAAATAATAAGACAAGAAGAGAATGAAATCAAGCTTCTAGGCCATCTTTTTGCTTGTTTTCCCCAATCAAGTATAAGATGTGGATGATACCTCCAAATCAGATTCCATATCTTCAAAGAGATATGAAGTCATAAACACTTCAGTTCCATTTCTTTAAAATAACTTTATTAGACTATAATTGCAACAGTAAAAACTGAAAGAATAGTAGAAAGAATAACAAATGCAAAGGAAGGAAGGAAAGAAGGAAAGGAAGAAATGACTTCCAAGCTTTATCACAAACACAAACAATTTTAGTAAGTTTTTAGCTGTTCGTTTACAATCAATGGTTTCTTCATCCCATGTACTGTTTCTTATAAACAAATCCAGTATTGTATTTTCTGAAAATAAGACCTGGTCTTATATATTTTTTGCCTCCAAAAGAGGCAGCAGGTCTTATTTTCGGGGGATGTCTTATTTTTCCTCTGACTCCTGCCTCGCCTTGCAGTGGTGGCACCAACAGCCCCATCCAGCAACAGCCTGCGTGATCGCTGGCCCACTTCTGTGGCTGCTGGCAGCTGCTCATGGCAGGAGGCTGTGTAACCCACTGCACTGTGCTGCTGTCACAAGACGAGGCAGGTGGGGGAGGGGGTGGAGTTGCCCAAGCACCCCATAGGTGCCCAAACACTTTTCTCCCAGAGGGAGACAGGAACCTTCGTCTACTTGCAAACAGGGCAGTTGGAAACCGAGACATTCACTCCGTTTCCAACCACCCCATAGGCACCCAAATACTTTTCGCCTGGATGGAGAAATGACAGAGACTGGAAGCTTCAACTGCTTGCAAATAGGGCGGTTGAAAATGGAGCAAATGCCTCGGATTTCCAAGCACCTTGTTTGCAAACAGACAAAGGTTCCATCTCCCTCTGGATTTAAAAGTGTGCGGCGCATCCGGATTGCCTGCCTCCCCTCCCCCCACCTCTGCCTCTGTTTTTTACTTACTTGCTCTGCACCATTGGGCCCTGCGTGCTTGCCACCGCTTGTGCTGGCCACACCCACCCCATGGACTTATTTTTGGGTAGGGCTTATATTAGGCCCACCCCAAAAAAATAAGGTTAGGGCTTATTTTTGGGGTGGGTCTTATTTTGGGGGAAACAAATAAACCAACTTTATATTATTTCCGTTTACTTCTATCAAACTTTATCTTTAGTCCATTTAGTAATATTGTAGAGCTTGATTTCTTTTTTACTCTTTCTGAAAAGGTTCAACCAACTTTAACAAACCTCTTTTGTAAATCTAATATAAAAGTATTAATCCAGGCCTTTCTCTTAGTTTATTATTTGTAATTCCCTTTTGATTTTTAAAGCATCAACCAATACCGTTACCTTGTTTGTAATTCCTTTTTGACTTTTAAAGCATCAACCAATTCTTTTGTATGTTTAATAAGATCTTTTTCCATGTCATTCTTGTAACTTATCATTTGTATATCCACTTTCAGTGCCAACTTAATTTCTGTCTTATCAAATAAAATTTGTTCCACTTCTGCCATTTCTTCCATAACCTCTTTTGGACACAGTTGATCGTTTTAAGTTCTGATTCCATTTTTTCAAATGTCTTTCAATATCTCCTATATTACAATATTTGGGTCATTCTGCAGCTGTGGGCATTCTCACATTTTTCTCCTTATCCAGAGAGGTTTGAACAGCTGATCTACTCACAACTGTTCATTTTTCACTGTGGTTGTAGGTTTCACATCTTCAGTCTGCCATTAGTTAAACTATTTTGTTTGGAGAGAAAGTCTGCCAAACATCATCCTTCCAAGGAATTTCTGACTAGTCTTGCTGAGAGTTTCCTCCTAGAGTTGAAGATACAAACTGTCCTTGACTTTGGCTAATCAATATGGAAGATTTAATCCTGAAGTATGCATATGTGCATGACAGTATGTCTTGGGACTTCAAGAAAACTGATTTTAATACACTTAGCAATATCAATGAGAAAAGTGGCTCAAGATTGGTATGTCCTTAAAAAAAATCATATACAATTCTAATTAAAGCTAGGCAAGATAGTTAAGGAGTTCAGAGCACAAGTAGTGTTTCATCTGTACTTCCAGCAAAAGGTCAACATCCAATGAGGGAAAAAGGATTTAGAAATGAACCACTGGGTGGCTTCCGGTTCTGGATCGCGTCATCAGCAGGCGTGCGGAGAGACTGCTCTCCCCGCCGTCCGGTTTCCCTTCTTCGGGAGACCCTGGAAAGAGTTGAAAGCCACCCTCCGTTTGATCTGAGGCAGCTCCTCAGGACCGAAGAAGAAAAGAGTGTCTATTAACATGGCTGCTCATTAAGTCGCACCAGCTGAAAGCCAAATTTAGATCTAAGCACAATGAAGCACTGTGGAGGATTCGGGTGAGAGCCTTCCTTTCCTCTTTGTTACCCTAATTACCTTCTTGTGAAAGCCTTTTCAAACCTCTCCCCTGCTTTCAATGCAGCAGCGTTTCTATACTTGGGAATTTAAACGTTGAAGGAAAGAAAAGAATAAGTAATTTTAATAACTAAATAACTGGATTTTTGATTTTCGGATACCTTTGGGATTTTAAAAGATCTAATTACTGAGACTTATTATTTCTCTAACCATTTATTTTGGAAAATATCCTCTTTTTCAGCTTTTTTAAATCAAATAAAAGACTAATTGGTGTTTGGGAAAAGATTTTGTGGTTGAAGGGGGACCTCTTGTGGCGAAAACTGGCACAGCAATTGACTTTTTTCTCTCTCTCTTTTTCAATTGTGAGGCCTGTTGCCTCTCTTGATTTGCCCTTCATACTATCAAAAAAGATAAGATTTGGAAACAGCTGGGTGGTGAAAACAGCTTTAGAAAGCGTGGAAGTGGGCATTGGCTGATCTTTACTAAACATAGTCTCCATCAAAAGACTATCACTAATCACCATGGAAATGGAGGGAATCTACCCACAACTTAATTATAAACTTATACTTCAAAAAATTCTTGAAGTCACCGAGCTAATAAAATCCTGAATGAAAGCCGAAGATGTTTTCACCTAACTACAGATTGAATCCCAGACCCCAACTGTTCGACTTACAAGCCAAAAAATAATAGAAGAGGAACAATTTAACATCAAAGAGGATTTTACTCAACAGCATGTACAACTTATGGATAACTTTGACAAACAGTTTGTTTGAGGGTTAAGCAGCTTTTCTTTTAGAGATTTTGACTGATCTTAGAGATATTGACTAAGGATATTTAGGATTCAGATTTATAATGGAAATTAAAATAATTTGTTAAATTATAGCCTTAATGGTTATAGGGAAATGGATTTGTGATAATGAAAGATATGTTATTAGTATATGAGGAGTTATTAGGATGAGAAATAGAATATACTGGTGAATAAAGAAAGAATTTAAATTTTGGAATAATATTTGTATTTCAGTCACAAGAATTAGTTTATAATGAAATGAGGGAAACTAAACTTATCTGAATTATAAATAGTGATTATAAAAGGTTAAATTGGAATATGACAACTGGAATGAAATAAAATCTAAAAACAGGACTTGGATATGTATAACTAAAATGTTATTGATAAATGCATACATTGATTGAACTTTAGCTAGAAAAGTACTAATATGAATGTGTTATAATAACTAAGGGAAATAGAGAGGGAGCCTTTATTGATGTAAACTGAGATATCTATGTATCACTCTGTTATTGGATTATTGATTACTCTATCACCACGCTGCTTCCTAATTACCTGGTTGTTAAAATTTGAAAAATTAATAAAATTTGTTAAAAGAAAAGAAATGAACCACTGGATCAAGGGTTGATGCTGCCAAGAGAACTTCGGATTCCTAGACCAGGGTCTGCATTACCTATGAAAAGGACTTCTGGCAAGGGGTGGACTGCACCTCACAAGAACTCTGAAGAATGTATTTGGAAAAAGACTGCTCAGCTTATCTGAAGGGCTTTAAACTAAAACTGAGGGGGGAGGGTGATCAATCTTTAGGATCTTTAGGACCTAATCCCAAGTATAAACCCCAAGGGAATCAATCAAACAAGGTAGAGAGGTATGGGAAGGAATAAAAACTCAGTTACAAACTAGGAGATGTAGGAAGCATATCCAGGGTCGGCCATGAAAGACTCATGCTATACGCTAATGCTCAAAATTTGGGGAACAAACAGGGTGAACATGAAGTACTAGTACATGAGAGCGGGTATGATATAGTTGCCATTATTGAAACTTGGTGGGTTGAAATGACTGATGGAAGGATATAAAGTGTTCAAAAGAAACAGACCTAACAGAAGAGGTGGAGTTGCATTATATGCAAGAGATCATTACATCTCTACAGAAATGCATAAAACCAAGGGTGAAACCTTTCTAAAATGCATATGGGTTAATATAAAAGAAAAAAAAATGACATTGCCATACAGACTACCGAATCAGGTAGAAATACAGATAGTCCTCGACTTAAAACAGTTCATTTAGTGACCACTCAAAGTGACAACAGCACTGAAAAAAGTGACTTATGACCGTTTTCAAACCTATGATCATTGCAGCATTCCCATGGTCATGTGATTAACAACCATGTTACTAATTTAACAACTGCAGTGATTCACTTAACAACTGTGGCAAGAAAGATTGTAAAATGGGGCAAAATTCACTTAACAGCTGTCTCACTTAGCAACAGAAATTTTGGGCTCAATTATGTTTGTACATCAAGGAATATCTGTAGATGAATTTTTGCTAACAAGTGCAAGTAGGAAACACACCGCAGTAGTAATGGGGGACTTTAACTATCCTGACATCATCTGGGATAAAAACTCTGCATCAGGTAGAACGGGTCCCCAATCCATGGGCCACAGCCCGGTAGTGGGCCATGGCCTGTGGGCCGCGGGACAGGCTGGCCAGTGTACGCACGTATGTGTGCACACACAGTCGCCCTAGTGCTGTTGGTGTGGGATACAAAAACGGCATGAAAACGAGGCATTGCGCCTCACAAGAATGGAGCAGGGCTAGTGAGTATCATTTGGGCGGCTAGCCCCGCCCTGTTTGCATTGCATGCCTGCTCGCAGCCCTGTGCATGCATGTGCACATGCGCGTGTCTAAAATGCTTCCCCCTCCTTTTCCCTCCAGTCTGCTAATTGAGAAAGGTTGGTGACCTCTGAGGTAGAAAATCAAACAGGTTCATGACCAACCTAGCTAATAATTTTGTTATCCAAAAGATAGAGGAGGGAACTAGAGGGTCAGCTATACTAGACTTAATATTTACTAACAGAGATGAAATGATAGAGGGAATTGAAGTTGCAGGAATTTTGGGAGAGAATGACCATGTCATATTAGAATTCAATATAATGCAGACACAAGCAACAGAAAGCTAAGGCTCAGAATGAACTAAGACTTGCAACCAATGTCAAAAATGATTTAAAAAATTTATTTCAACATATAGAAATACAAGAAAAAATTAAAGAAACAGTCGATCTACTAATGGGAGAAGATGGCAAGGAAGTTTTTTTGCATCTGTCATAATACAAAATGAAAAAAATAGCCCAACCTACCAAAAACAGAACTAGGAATTCAAATTAAAATAGGAAAAAATATGATAAGAGAACATCGTCTGCCCTAGACGAGTTCAAATCACCAGGACCTGATGGATCGCATCCCAGAGTTCTGAAGGAGCTGGCAGACGTGATCTCAGAACCACTGAACTATATCTTTTCAAAGATCCTGGAGCATCGGGGAACTACCACAGGACTGGAAAAAAGCTGATATGGTTTCCATCTTCAAAAAAAAAAAAAAAAAAAAAAGGGGGGGAGTGGGGAAACAGATCCAGGAAACTACAATCAGCCTGACATTAATAGCTGGGAACATCAAGCAACAGATCTGTGAACACCTAGAAGCAAGCAAAATTATAACTAGAAGCCAAGCTGGGTTTGTCGAAAACAGATCAAGCCAAACAAACTTTATTTCATTCTTTGACAAAGTGACTAAATTAGTGGACCAGCGAAATGTTGTGGACATACTATACTTAGATTTTAGTAAGGCATTTGACAAAGTAGTCCACAACCTACTTATTGGTAAACTAAAAATATATGGGACAGACAGCATCATCGCCAGGTGGATTTGTAACTAGCTGACAAATCACACTCAACATGTCTTAAATAGAATTGCATCTACATGAGGGTACCTTAAAAGTTCTGTCTTAAATCTAGTCTTCAATATCTTCGTAAACGATTTAGGTGAGGGAATAGAAAGGGAACTCATCAAATTTTCAAATGACACTAAGTTGGCAAGAATAGCCAATACCCCAGAACATAGGGTCAAAATCCAGATGGATCTCAACAGCCTTGAACACTAGGCCCTATTTAATAAAATGAAATTCAGTGTAGAGAAAAGTAAGGTTTTACACTAAGGCAAAAAAACCCAAATGTGGAAATACAGATTAGGTGAAACTTTGCTCAATAGCAATAACTGTAAGAGGGATCCTAGTGGACAATCAGTTAATATGAGCCAGCAGTGTGCTGCAGCCTCCAAAAAAAGCCAATGCAATCCTAGGTTGCATTAACAGAGGGATAGAATCAAGATCAGGTGAAGTGTCAGTACCGTTTTGTAAGTGCTTGGTAAGACCAGACATGGAATACTGCATCTAGTTTTGGCCACCACAATATAAAAAAGATATAGAGTCTCTGGAAAGACTTCAGAAAAGAGCAACAAAGATGATTAGGAGGTTGGTGGCAAAAATGTATGAAGAATGGTTGCAGAAATTGGGTATGTCTAGTCTAGTGAAATGAAGGACTAGGGGTGACATGATAGTGTTCCAATATTTGAGGGGCTGCCACAAAGAAGAGAGGAGTCAACCTATTTTCCAAAGTACCAGAAGGCAAAACAAGAAGCTATGTATGGAAACTAATCAAGGAGAGAAACAGCCTAGAACTAAGGAGAAATTTCCTGAACAGTGAGAACAATAAACCAGTGAAATGGCTTGCTTTCAGAAGTTGTGGGTGCTTCCTCACAGGAGGCTTTTAAAAAGAGATTGGACAGTCATTTGTCTGAAATGGTATAGGACCTCCTGCTTGAGCAGAGGGTTGGAATAGAAGACCTCCAAGATCCCTTCCAACTCTGTTATTCTGTTACTCTATTCTGTTAAGAGAGAAGCCATTGTGGTTACACAAAAACAGTATCATCATTTGAAAAAGGAATATTTAGTTCTATGATTTATTTATATTGTATTACATTTGTATTGCATCTTTCTCTAAAGATATCTTCTCAGAATTATCCTTTCTGTTCTGTTTGATGTGTGGAAAGTATGACATAATTTTGGCCTATTTATCCTTTAAAATTCTTTTTATTTAAATGTATTTGTTGACTACTTAACTCTTGGATTGCTCCTGCTTGGCTGTACAGCAGCTATTAAAACCATCTCTGTTAGTTAGAATTGTAAGAAGAAACATGTTCTTTGTGCTTTGCCAAATACATTCAGAGAGGCTTGGATTTACAATATGCAGAGAGAACATACTTCTTTTCCAAAATTTTTCTCATTATTAATACTGTTTTCATTGATCTTTCCAGATTCATGCAGTTGGCGAATTTGACAGGAATTCCAGCCCTAGTGGTACCAGTTGGATATACAATTTCAGGGCTTCCCATTAGCCTTCAGGTAAGTTATTACCTTCTGTACTTTGATGTGAATTCAGTGAACCCAATTAAGAATAATTTTCTTTCTGATTAATTCATCCATCTACATTCATGCAGTTTCATTTTTTTCAATTTCTGAATCCCCCTCAAATGTGGCAATATCCTTTCCTAGCATTTGCTAGGCCAATAATCACAGACGGTGAAAATATGCTTTGCATTTCTAGGAAATCCTACTGAAACTCACATAGATTAACTTACGGCTACAATTGAGCCCCAAATTTCTGTTGCTAAGTGAGACACTTGTTGAGTTTTGCCTCATTTTACAACCTTTCTTGCCACAGTTGTTAAGTAAATCACTGTAGTTGTTAAGTTAGTAACATGATTGTTAATTGAATCTGGCTTCCCTATTGATTTTGCTTGTCACAAGTTCGTGACCATATGACCCTAAGATACTGCAACTGTCATAAATAGCATCTGGATGTTGATTACATGGTCATGAAGATGCTGAAACAGTTGTGTGAAACAGTCATAAGTGACTTTTTTTAGTGCTGTTGTAACGTCCATTGGTCACTAAACAAACTGTTGTAAGTTGAGGACTATCTGTATCTTCTTCCATCTTCTTTTGCAAATTCAGGGAAGCAAGTAAAATGCATTATTTAGTCAAATATAAAATGCTAATGCCTTTTATTTAGGATGAGACTCTACTGCTCTATTTGTTTACTTAACTTTTCAAAAACAGAAAGGTATCTGCTTTCTCTTACAAAAGCTTATAGCTTGCAGAAACAGTATTGAGGTATGTGTATGGATTTTTAAAAAGGGAAATTGGGATGTTGTCCATCACCTAGAAAGGGAGTTAGTATACCATATCATTCCTGATATTCCTAACGTGTTGACAAAAGCACCTACCCAAATACTTGTGAATAACCTGTGACCAGTTTTGTTTCAAACATATACTAATGACCAGGTCGCTCAGCATCCATTCGAAGTTATAACCAATTTCACCAAAACTATTTACGACTTGGATTCAAAATTCTGACAGTTGGCTGCTCACCACTCCCTGCAATCAAGAAATTGCACTTTGGGTATTCGGCAACTGGCCCACATTTGCAGCATTATGTTACTGTGGTTTATATTTTTTGCCAGAAACTGATACTTCCAGTTACCAGCAAAA